ATTTTTCCTTTTTTTTTTTTTTTTTTTTTGTCTTTTTTTTTTCGTGTCCGGCAACGGATCACAACCCTCAGTGTCGCGCCCGTACTGGACCGGGACCGGCAACGGGATCGCAACCCTCGGTGCTGCGCCCGCCCCTCGCTCAGCCAGCGAGCGGGAACCGGTCTGTATGTGGGATCCGAACCCTCGGCGGGAGCGCCGCCGCGCTTCCCAAGCGGCGCACTGTAGCAGTGCGCCACCGGGCCGGCCCCCAAAAGTCATTTTTAAAAATCAGTATTGAGAAACACTGAAGTTTATAAGAAATAAAACAAATTAACTATCTTACAAAAGATATGAACCTTAGATTAGCTTTGCTGATATACTAGTATATGGTTCCAAACTAGAATTGCTTCCAGAGTGTAAACCAAAAAACAAATGACAGTTTGTGTCATCTACAAATAATACTTCACCATTCTGCTTTTGCCCTTCTTTCTTCTCTAACTTAATTTTTTGAAATAAACCCAAAGTAGTATCTAAATATTCCTTCAGTTGTTAAGACAACAGCTTTGTCTCCAACACGTATTTAGCATCTGAGTCCTAAATATTCGGTTGCTGCCTAAACTGAAGTTTGAAAACAGATTGTAGTAAGGCTTTAGTTTTTTTCCGCATTGCTTTTTGGTCAAATTTCCTTAGTCAGATGCTTAAAAACTTTTTTCTATCAATTTTATTGCCTATCTTAGAAATTATCTTTTTTTTTTTTTTTTCCTTTTTTTTGTCTTTTTTCGTGACCGGTAACGGGATCACAACCCTCGGTGTCGCGCCCGCACCGCGCTCAACCAGTGAGCGGACCGGTCTCTATATGGGATCCGAACCCTCGGCGGGAGGGCCCCCGCGCTCCCAAGCACCACACTCTATGAGTGCGCCACCGGGCCGGCCCAGAAATTATCTTTTTTAAAACAACCGTGATATGCTGCCTAATTCTCTAATTTTTATTTATTGACAACAGGTTGATTTCTAAAACACTGTTCAAAACCAATCAAAGTGATATGAACCCACAGCCTAGAAAAAATAAAACCAGACCTAAAAGAATTTAGGCTGAAAATAGATAAAAATTTTATTAACTAGAAATGTGACTTTGAATACTTATATTATAACCTTTAAGACTTCTGATAGTCATTGCCAACTGAATTATATCAATGAAATAATAGGTAATCTATTGAAAATTTTTGCTGCTAAGTATTTTAAATCTTTAATAGCAAATTCTGTACATGCATAAATGTTAACATGTATTTTTTTAAAACTGTTTCCATATTAAATTCTCATCTCTAACTTACTAGGGCATTATTCATATTTTCTTAAATTCCTGCATTTTTGCAATCCCAAAGTTTATTATTTTGGGTGATTTGGATCTCTAATTATAGGTAAATTTGATTATTATGGAATGATTCTATATGAGCTAGCTTTTCAGAGTTGTTTTGTAAGTAACTGCAGAAGAGGTTCCTGGTGGAAGTCCCAAAGGAAGAGCAGAAAGAATTAAGACAGATTTTCATGTTTGTGCAAGGGAAACTTCTGTGTCTGACTATGAAAAATTGTTAAGCCCTGTACTTAATGGACTTAAATTACAACATGCCCCAGTAAAACCTCATTTTTAAACATTTGCTTCTAGCTTTCATTCTGTTAGCCATCAAATTTGTTCTTTATGGCTTTATACTTTTTATTGTATTATAAAAAGCCTGTTTAAGCATTCTAATAATTTCTCTTATTTTTTTATTTTATTTTTTTTCCTTTTTGTCTTTTTTCGTGACCGGCAACGGATCGCAACCCTCAGTGTCGTGCCCGTACCGGACCCGGACCGGCAACGGGATCGCAACCCTCGGTGTTGCGCCCGCACCTCGCTCAGCCAGTGAGCTGCCGGTCTGTATGTGGGATCCGAACCCTCGGCGGGAGCGCCACCGTGCTCCCAAGCGGCGCACTGTAGCAGTGCGCCACCGGGCCAGCCCAATTTCTCTTATTTTTAAATATTCAGATAATACTTGAAATTTTAGCCCCCTCCCCCTTTTTAAGGCTGACAAATTTGTGACTTATATGGGTTTTTAAAAACTAGTTAAGGGCCGGCCCGGCGGCGCACTGGAGAGTGCGCCGCTTGGGAGCACGGTGGCGCTCCCGCCGAGGGTTCGGATCCTATGTGGAGACCGGTTCCCACTCACTGGCTGAGCGTGGTGCGGGCGCGACACCGAGGGTTGCGATCCCGTTGCTGGTCCCCAGTACGGGGGCAACACCGAGGGTTGAGATCCCGTTACCGGTCAGTAAAAAAGACAAAAAGGAAAAAAAAAAAAAACTAGTTAATACGTGTACTTAGAACAAACTTGTAAAGACTGAAAGGATATACAGTGAAAAGTAAGTCTTTGTTCACATATCCCCGTGCCATGCATTCCCTTCTTGGAGGTGACAACTACCACATTTCTTGAGTATCCTTCTAGAGATGCTTGATGAATATGTATATTTTGTTTACTTGTTTACATAAATGGAAGCATGGCATACATACTCTTCTGTGCTGTGCTTTTTGCTATATGTCTTGGAGATCATGCCAGTATCATTGCTGGAGTTGGCTGAATGTATTTCATTATGTGGCTGTATCATAATTTAACCAGTCCTATTTTAGTACATTAGGTCTTCACACTCTTTTGCAATTATAGTGGTGTAATGAATATCCTATATACATCCATATATATCTATATATAGAGATAGATATGGGGTTTTTTTTTTCTTTTTTTGATGGCTGGCCAGTATCAGGATCCAAACCCTTGACTGTGGTGTTATCAGCACCACGCTCTGAGTGAGCTAACCTGTCAGCTCTGTCCTTGTATGTATTCAATCTTAGGGTCATCTTTGTATTTAATAAGAGAGTCTATCCCATTGATATTTATTAATATGGTAGAAATGTTTGGTCTTAGTTCTATCACATTTATGGTATACATTCTGCTTTTTTTTAAAATATATATCTACATTATGTGTTTTCTACTATTTACACAGTATTTTTTTAATCCCTACTGAGAGCAATGATGAAATTGGCATATTTTCCTCTTCTCGCTTCCACTTTCCAATTTTATTATTTTTCTTCATGTTGACCCTTATACTTTTAAATATGCTTATATTTTATTTATCAGCTTTAACTTCTGTTCTTTGACCTCTGGGTATTAGAGATGAGGATATCAGCATGCTTAAATTACTTCACATCTTCTCTCACCTTTCTTTTCCTAATGACATTCCAGTTTGTAACATTTACCTTCCGTTTTATAGTCATCCTCTCTACCTTTGTTTTCGTTTTAATCCTGTAGTTAAACAGATTGTAGGCGCATTACCTGTCCTTTTGTTATAATTTTTCTTTTTATCTCTTGAATGGCATGAGTTCAGAAATGTTTGTATTTCACATTTATATTTGGTTAATAGTTCAGATATAAAATTTGGAGGTACACTTTTCTTCCTTAAGAATATTATAGGCAGTGTTCATTCTCTTCTAGCATTAAATGTTGCCATGGAAAACTCTGAGGCCATGCTGATATCGTTTCCCCTTATTTGTTGCTTTCTTGATGTCTTTGCTTGATGCCCAGATGACTTTTTTTTTAAATCTTTGAAGTCTAATAAGTTAACTAGACTGTGTCGCATTGTTGAAAATTCGTTGTCAGGACAAGTCAATCCACTTACATATCTGGAAAATTTTCTTGAATTATTTGAAAAAAATTTTTTTTGTCTTACTATTTTAAATTTCAGTTTAGGGAAACCAGTTATACATATGTATGATATCTTTTGACTGTCTTTCATATTTATCATTTTCTCTGAAATCCTTTTTTACTTTTTGCTGATTTCCATTTTATTTGCTTTGCTTTGCTTTGCATCCTCTACTGTGTTTTCAGCAGTGTCTTTTATATGTGCTGCTTTCAATATGGTCTGCAGAAGTTTTTTTTTTTTTCCTACTTTTTCTTTGAACTCTATAAACCCCTGTTCCATCTCCTTCTGGTGGCTCACTTCATCATTTTTCTGCTTTTATATCTCTGCTTTGAGCTATTTTACATATTTCCTCATTACATATTTGATATCATGTTATTGTGTTTGATCACAGTTTTTAACTGCTTTGTGGCAGTTTTTCTGGTCACTTTTTTGGTCTTACTACTTTCATATAAGTCCTGTGCTGGTAACTTTTGATAATTGCTCATCTTTGAATGAGGAATTTCCTCTTGGACCTGCTATTTAGAAGAGGTTCTTGTGATGGGAGAAGCCAGGAAGGTGTTCTAGGCCAGCAGGAAATCTTCCTGGTCTGACAAAGGGTTGTAAGTGAATGAGTTCTTTTTTTAAAAAATAGCTTTATTGAGGTATAATTTCCATACCATTGAATTAGGTTTTTTAACTTTTACTTCCCCCTAGTTAAAGGGATCAGTAACTTCAGGGTTATTCACAACTGGAATATCTCTCTCCAGTTCTACCTTACCAATGGACTATTTCCAGCAAAAACAGAATGACTATGAGATTCCTTTCTCAGGTTCATTTTCCTCCCCTGCTGCTGCTTGGTACAAACAAGATCCAGGGAAGCTCCCTCTGTCAATCCAAATAGTTTTTCCCTGCTGTTCCAAACAAAGTTTATTTGCTACTTTGCAGGCTGTGTTTTACCCTTTGTCTGAGATTTGTAGGCATTCTCCCCTTCCATATCTTCCTGCATCTCTGTTTAACCTTCACTGCACTTTGGAATTCTTATGTTGGTTCAGGGTTACAGATATGTTGATTTAATTCAGATACAGTTGGTATTTCTGTTGTTTTTTCTTCTAGAGCAGTTTCTAAAGAAAGAAAGAGGTTGTGCCAGTGTTATTCCACCATCTTAAACCCTCTAGTTCTCTAGAGGTCCTTTATAGGAAAGTTACACACACACACAAACACACACACAATTTCTTAACACCAAAGTTTGATACTATTTCAACAGGTTTCAAGTAGTAGCAAAGCCTTCATTCACTTCCATTTCCTAGTCTCAATTCTGTCAGTTAGCACCGATTTCTTTCTACTTTGATCTTTAGTAACAGACATTTCTTTCTACTTTGATCTTTAGTAACATACGTATACTGTCTGTACTGGCACTGTGCAGTAGAACTTTCTGATGGAAAGTTTCTCTGTCTACACATCCAACATAGTAGCCACTAGCTGCTAGTGTTGAAATGTGGCTACAGTGACTGAAGAATTCACTTTAATTTTATTTCATTTTAAATCATTTAAATTTTAATAGCTACCTGTGGCTACTGGCTGCTATATTGGACAGCACAGCACTATACTTCCCATTTTTACATTTAATCACATATTATCCAGCAGCTGTTTTTTGAGGACCTTTACATGCTGGTACTGTTCTAGACATATGGTTTATAGCCGTGGTAAAGGCAAATAGGCCCTTTCCACCATGCACTTACCTTCTGGGAGGAGCCTTCATGGGGAACAGTACATAAACTTAGTAACCTCACATAATGCTAAGCACTGCAAAGAAAACAGGAAGAGAAATGACTGGGGAGAACTGCTGTAAGTAGAGCAGCCCTCTCAGAGGATATGCCTTTTCAGTTGCTTATTAAGTAATAAGAAAGGTGCCAGCAGTGCAAAGGGACTGTGTAAAGTAAATATCTTCTAAGCAGAGGTAGGAAGTGTGGGACAGAAGGGTCATGAAATGATGTGAGAGGAATAGGCAGGAGTCAGATTATGTTGGGCATTTTAATGAATTTAAATTCTCTGTGTGTAGTGGGAAACTGTTGAAGGACTTTAAGCAAGGGAGGGGCATCATCATATTTACTTTTTAAAAAGATAGCCATTTCCATACTGTTTAGAAATTGGATAGGTACATTTTCTAATTTCTTAGTTTTTTTTTTTTTCCCTTATAAAGTATTTCGCTTTTCAAAATAGTTAATAGATATACACAGCACAAAATTCAAAAGGAAGTCAGTCAGTGAGAGATAAATTGCCCTTCTTCCTCGTCTTTCACCTACCCACTTTCTCTTGCTGGAAGTAGTTTCTTACTGCATGTATTTCAAGTTTAATAGTTTCTTACGGGCCGGCCCGTGGCTCACTCGGGAGAGTGCAGTTCTGATGACACCAAGGCCCCGGGTTCGGATCCCACATAGGGATGGCCGGTTCGCTCACTGGCTGAGCGTGGTGCTGACAACACCAAGTCAAGGGTTAAGATCCCCTTACCGGTCATCTTTTAAAAAAAAAAATAGTTTCTTACTGCTTAAATTTTAATCTTGAAGCGCTACTTCCAATCTACCATTCTGTCTTGTATTATTCTTTAGTGGCTTAATGTGTACATATCTTAATTTGTCAGTGGGATTTGAATTTCTTTAATTGTGGGCATTATTTTATTTACTCTTTTGTTCTACACTTCCATCACCTCCAACATAATGATCATTGTACATCGGCCCTCTATATCCACATGTTCCACATCCTCAGATTCAACCAATCATGGATCAACAGTGTAGTCAGGCCTACAATGGTTGCACCTGTACTGAATGTGTACAAACTTGTTTTCTTGTCATTATTCCCTAAACAATACAGTATTAACAACTATTTACACAGTATTTACACTGTATTAGGTATTAAAAGTAATCTAGAGATATTTTAAAGTATATAGGAGGTTATACACAAATACGATCCCATTTTATATAAAGGACTTGAGCATCTACAGACTTTGGTATCCTTATGGGTCCTGAAACCAATCCTTCATGGATACAGACTATCTGTAAGAAAGTAGGAGTTTATTTGTTCAGTTAAAGTAGTGAGAAATGAATTGATTTCCTTCTCCGTCCTTTATAGGAAGAAGTTCTACAGGGTTTTGAAGACTTGGCTGGAAAACTCCCATGGTCAGACCCTTTAAAAGTATGGAAAATTAACACCAGTTTTAAGAAAAAAAAAACAAAGCGCAAAAAGATAAATCAAAATTCAAGTAAAGAGAAGATTGATGATGGACAAGGAGACAAAACAGATGAGAGAGATATTAAAAAAGAGTTCACTAACAATGCTTTAGATTCACAAATCTTAGACTACTATGAAAATCCAGCCATCAAAGAGGAGATATCAATGTTAGTAAGTGATGATTTGGCATCTTGCAGAGGTGACACTGATGAAATCTCAAAAGAAGAAACTGAGCCCCAAGTGCTGAAGTTTAGAGTCACATGCAACAGGGCAGGAGAGAAACATTGCTTCACCTCAAATGAGGCCGCAAGAAATTTTGGGGGTGCTGTTCAAGATTATTTTAAGTGGAAGGCTGACATGACCAACTTTGATGTTGAGGTAGGTACAGACTCTGTGATGATTCAAGAATGCTGTCACAGATTTGTAGAATTTCCAGACTAACCCAATCTTATGGACAATTAAAGTGAGGCAATAGAGTTAGTAGGGTGTGGTTAAGAAGAGCATGGGCTATAGAGATAGGTCTGGATCCATATTTTGACTCCACAACTGTGTAACTTTTTTGGACAAAATATTCTCTCAGCCTCTGTTTCAAATGGAGCCAATAATATATACCTTTAAGAGTGTCCTGAAGGTTAAGTGAAATAATACATTTAAAGTATTTGGTGTACTACGCATCACATACTAAGTGCCTAATAGATGGGAGCTGTCAAGACATGAGTCTTCTGATTTCTTTTTTTTTTTATTTTTTTATTTTTTTCCTTTTTGTCTTTTTTCGTGTCCGGCAACGGATCGCAACCCTCAGTGTCGCGCCCGTACCGGACCGGGACCGGCAACGGGATCGCAACCCTCCGTGTCGCGCCCGCACCTCGCTCAGCCAGTGAGCGGGAACCGGTCTGTATGTGGGATCCGAACCCTCGGCGGGAGCGCCACCGCACTCTCAAGCAGCGCACTGTAGCAGTGTGCCACCAGGCCGGCCCGAGTCTTCTGATTTCTAATCTAGTACTTTTTTTACTACATTCTGTAGACTTTCAGATTATAAAATTAAACCAAAATTAAAACAGTTATTTTGTGTGTCTTGGTTGTAGAGTTCTGCTACTAAGAAGAGTACATTTTTAAAACAAATCTGAGCTTCCTCATACCAGGACATAGTGCACATACTCATCCAAGAGCCAGCTCTCCTCTTTCTTAAATTCTTCTAGTTCCCAAATCTAGATACTTTCATTAGCATGCTTACTCTCCTTGGTGTTGATCCTTTACTATCCAGGTAATTGACGTGGGCAAAAGGAAGAAGAATCTTTAAATATATGACAGCTTAAAAGGCCCCTAGCAGCTGATGGTTTTACCAAGAAATCAATTTCTGTTGCTTTGGGGACACTTGAATCTGGGGCAAGTCTCTTATTCTCTCTGTAACGTTTTTTTTTTTTTTGCGTATGAAATCAGGAGAACAGTTCCCCATTCCTTTTTCTCATATAGCTGTTGTGAGAATGAATAGGCTAACTAGAACAGAGATTTCCAAAAGTTAGCAAGGTGACCCAGAGGACATTTCCTAGAGTCATATTTCCTGGGTTCAAATCCCAACTTAAGGAGCTGAATGACCATGAGCAAGTGAGCTGATGTCTTATGCCTCAGTTTTCTCATCCATAAAGGGAGATAATAGGACCCAGCTAAGAGGGTGTGACTATGAAATGAGGTCGTCAATGTAAAGAACAGTGCCTTGCTTGTGTGCTTTGCTCCTGCTGCTGCTGCTAGGATATCATGAGGAAATTTTAGGTGGGAGATTGGGGAACATCTTCTATTTTTATTTGAATAGTTTAACTGCGTGTTAGGAAAACTGTAACTAGGATAAAGAAAGCCATCATTTCACAGACATTTTTACTACATGAGTCAAATTTGAAAAAATACTAAGTAAGAACACAATATAATAGATGATAAAGCAAATGTGTACAGTGTTGACGGTAAATCTAGGTGAAGTGTATACTTAGAAGTTCATTGTGCCAGTATTCTTGTAGCACTTCTATATGTTTGAATTTTTTTTCCAAAAAAGTTAGAAATTTAAAATATATATGTATGTATATTTAAAAACCCATAAATCTTTAAAATATGTTTGTATTATAAAAATTGGGAGGAAATCTGGTTATAGCCAAGTGATAAATAGAGTGAATGAGAAGAATAAAACAGATTTTTTAATTAAGCAACAAATAGTATATACTATATGATTTCATTTATATGAAGTTAAAAAATGGCAAGACTAATTTGTGGTGGTAGTAGTCAAATTAGTGATTACCTTGAATGGGTATTGACTTGGAGGGGGCAAAGGTGCTAGAAGTATTCTATATCTTTATCTGGGTGGTGGTTATACAGTATGTATATAGGTAAAAATATTGACCTGTACACTTAAGATTTGTTCACTTTATGTAAAGTATACCTCAATTAAAAGGTAAAAAAAAATTGATAAAGCCTCAAAATCTTTGTAATAAGTGAAGTTTGAACAATCCTAAAACTATTTTGTCTTATTTAACTTTACTGTAGGTTCTTTTGAATATCCATGATAATGAAGTCATCGTGGGCATTGCATTGACTGAAGAGAGTCTTCATCGAAGAAATATTACACATTTTGGACCTACAACTCTTAGATCAACTCTTGCCTATGGGATGCTCAGGTAAGAAAATGGGTTTGCTATCCAGATTAAAGTGGCATCTTGGCTTCAGTTTTCCCTTCAAAACACTGATTTTGTGTGAGAGGTACTGTGTTGGAATTTAGTGGGTAAAGACAGGATATTGGTTAGAGTGCAGTGCTGATGACACCAAGGTTGAGTACTGGTCAGCCCTTACTGGCCAGCTGCCAAAAAAAAACAGGATAAAAAGCTAATGATCTATTTCTTTCACGTATATCCAATATTGACCCCTTGTGATCTTGCAGATATCATGTAACCAATATCTTAGTTTTCTTGATTTTAAAATGAAAATGATAGTTTTCATCTGCCTTTTTAATGGGGTTGCCACATTTCTGTTTATAAAGGATATACTATAGGCCGGCCCATGGCTCACTCGGGAGAGTGTGGTGCTGATAACACCAAGGCCACGGGTTCAGATCCTATACAGGGATGGCCAGTTTGCTCACTGGCTGAGCGTGGTGCTGACAACACCAAGCCAAGGGTTGAGATCCCCTTACCGGTCATCTTTTAAAAAAAATAAAGGATATATTGTATGTTGGAAGGTAGAGCAAATTTTGCTGTGTTTTATTTCTATGCAGTGAAGCAGATGAAAACAGATTTTTATAATGTGTAAATGAACACAGAGTTTTTACTTATGTTTTTAAATTTTATACTCACAGCAGTTCTGGAATCATCTTGAAATTTTCTGCTTTTTAGAGTATAAGACCTAGCTTTCCCTCTTTATTGGCCTTCTCCCTTTTATTGGATACTTCCTTCCACTACTTGGACAAGTTTATCTTCTCTAAGCTTCTGTTTTCCAGACTACAAAGTGGGTTTGATGTGGGACTTAAAGGATTATTAGTGAGGATTACATGCAGACACATATGCACAATACCTGTTATATATAGTGCTTGGCATGTCTTGGTAGTTAAGTATAAATGTGTTGCTTAATGACAGGGATACATTCTGAGAAATGCTTCATTAGGCAATTCTGGCGTTGTTCAAACATCACAGAATTTACACAAACTTAGATGGTACAGCCTGCTACCTAGGTAGGCTCTGGTAATAGCTTATTGCTCCTAGGCTACAAATCTGTACTGCATGTTACTGTACTGAATACTGTAGGCAGTTGTAACACAATGATAAGTATTTGTGTATCTGAACATATCTAAACAGAAAAAGTATAATAAGAACACAGTATTTTAATCTCATGGGACCACCGTCCTAGATATGGTCTGTCATTTACTGAAATGTTATTTTGCAGCTAGTGACTGTAATTGTATTTCCTTCTCTTCCAATCTTTGCCTTCCCTTTTATTCTGCTCATTGGCAGAGTCACAGTTCAACACAATCAGAACATACTAATTCAATGAAAATAGTAGAAAACTGGACCTATTTGATTAAGGAAAAGCTCCTGGTCTTCATTCAACAAACATTTATCATCTGCTGCCAGGCATTATGGTAGGAGCCAGAGATATGGAGAGAGAGTTATTTTGGGTGCAAATATTTGAAACATAAGTAAGCTAGTTTAGAATAAAATAGTGACAGTTGTACCAAAGTGGGAGTTTACTGGAAAAATAAGGAGAAATCTTAGAGAATCCATAGAAAAACTGAAAGCCATGTCTCAAGAAGGGTAGGAACCATTCTTGGAAAACCACCAGAAACCTAGTCAGCCACTTTTATCTCTCCGGAGATCCTGTGGACTCTTGTCTATGCTCATCACATGGCTGCCCCTTCATCTAAATTTATATATTTCTGATTTCAAACAACCAGCCTAAATTTCCTAGGGCTTCTAGCTCTTTATTTCATATTCCTGGAAGAGAGGATTTGATTGACAGTTCATTCAAGTGTTCACCCCTGACCCTTCAGCAATGGATGGGAGTATAGGGTTGCTTAGTACCCCAAGAAGGTTGCCATGTGTTGAGTGAGGGATAGGAATAGGAAGGTAGAGTTGAACAGGTATTACAGTAAGAACCCAGTGTTAGTTCCAAAGAATGTGGTAAGTACCATAACAGAACATGAAAAGAAGAGAAAGACAAGAGAAGGAAAGAGAAACCTAGTGGCCTAAGGCTGGGATGCTTCGTAGAAGGGGTAGTATTTAAGCCATAAACAGTAATGGGTCTAATCCTGACTCTGTCACGTACTAGTTTTGTGTCCCTGGACAGGTAATTTAATGTTTCTTTGCATCAGCCTGTCTGTAAAATGAGAACAATAGTAACCTACCCAATAGGGCTGTTAAGAGGATTCAACGAGATGATGCATGGAGAGACCTTAAATCCATGCCTGGCAAAACTAGGTCTCAAAATAAAGCAATTATTTTTATTTTTATTTTTTATTTATTTTATTTTTTATTGTAACATAGTGGATTGTATATATCTGTGAGGTACAGCGTTGAATATCAGTACCTGTGTGCAATATGTAATGCTCAAATCAGGATAATTAGTATATTCAACATTATACAATGTAATCATTTTTTAATATCCCTTTACCAATTCCTTTCTCCTTTCCCTTCCTACCTGCTCTCCCCCACTTTTCCCACCTCTGGTAACCTCAGTTCTGTTCTCTCCTTTTGAAATTTCAACATATTATTGTGATTGTTGTATCTTTCTTTCTTTTTAAATTTATTTTTTTAGCTCCTGCTTATGAGTGAGGACATGCAGTCTTTCTCTTTGTGTGCCTGGCTTATTTCACTTAACATGATATTCTCTAAATGCATCCTTGTTGCTGTGAATGGCAGTATTTCATTCTTTTTTTATGGCAGAGTAGTATTCCATTGTGTATATATACCACATTTTCCTTATCCAGTCATCCAACGATGGACATTTAAGTCGCCAACTCTTGGCTGTTGTAAATAGAGCTGCAGTAAACATGGGGGTGCAGGTATTCCTTCGACATGATCATTTCCATTCCTTTGAGTATATACCCAGTAGTGGGATGACTGGATCGTATGGCAGTTCTATCTGTAGTTGTTTGAGGAAACTTCATACCATTTTCCATAATGGCTGCACCAACTTAGAGTCCCACCATCAGTGTAGGAGAGTTTCCCTTTCTTTGCATCCTTGCCAGCATCTGTCATTCTGTCTTTTTGATTACAGCCAGCCTAACTGAGTTGAGATGATATCTCAGTGTCGTTTTGATTTTCATTTCCAAGTGATGTTTTGCATTTCTTCATGTGTCTGTTGTCCATTTGTATATCTTCCTTTGAGAAATGCCTATTCAGCTCCTTTGCCCATTTTTTAATTGGGTTATTTGTTGTTTTACTAAGTTGTTTGAGTTCTTTGTATATTTGGGATATTAATCTTTTATTGGATGCATAGTTTGCAAATATTTTCTCCCACTCTGTAGGTTGTCTTTTCTCTCTTCTAATTGTTTCTTTTGCTGTGCAGAAAAAGCAGTTATTTTTATATCTAGGTTATTATCTTTAAATTCAAAAGGAAAGGAAGACTGAATGTCTAATTGGCAGTAAACTTATATTGATACATGTTTTACTTGAGAGGTGTTTAGTTTTTTTTGGTTTTGTTTTTTGGCAGCTGACTGGTATGGTATGGGGATCCAATCCCCTGTCCTTGGTATTATAACACGAGGCTCTAACCAACTGAGCTAACAGGCCAGCATCGTTTAGTTTTTTTAATGTAACAATACAGGTTCAGGTACTGTGACCTAGGCAGAGGAAAAATAAAATGAAGGTTCATATACAAAATAACACTCAGAGTTTTCTAAAGGTATGCATGAATGTGTGTTTGTGAATTTTAAAAGGTCTAGAAGCTAAATTCCATCTGGGAGAGAAATGGGACTTCAAATGGTAGTCAAAAGGGACTTTTAGCTATATGTAATGACTTTTTTTTTAAGAGGTAGGATATAGAGTTAACATGTAATTACAAATTGATTTTTTAAATGATTGTAGATTGGTGGTCTTCATGCTATTTGACAGGTCCTCAGCCTTATAGCTTCAGGAATCATCACTGTGGAAGCCTCAGCTTTCAGTTTAGTCTCTTCACATAGGCTGTTTTCTTTTCTCCAGGCTCTGTGCTCCTCAACCTACTGATATAATAATCGATCCAATGTGTGGAACAGGGGCAATACCAATAGAGGTAATAACTTTTCTTTAGCTTTTAGATAAGCAAGTGATATATCCAGAATGTTCTAGACCTAATGGTCATTTAGACATAATGAATTCACCAAGGTTGAGTCAGTGAATTGAAGAGTTCTAAAATAATTACAATAATAAAGTTGAAACTATTGTGTAAGGAATATAACTACTTATTTCAAATAGCCAAGTGCCTAAGGACTAGATAGTAATATCTATTCACTGGATTACAGAGAAAACCAAGAATTACAAACTTCTGGTGAGTTCCCTTTCTGTAACAGACAAGCTAGTAGACTTGAATGGGAAAGGATGATTGAAGGCATAAGCATAAATTGAAGGAAGGCGATTTTCATCTTTATGAGACTGTGCTTCTTAATCCACTTAGGTTCCTGGAAGGAGTAAGTATAGTTGTAAAATGGAGAAATCTTTGAACATTATTTCGATTTTTTAGTAAGTCTAACAATGTTACATAATAGATGCTCTTAAATCGTTTTCAGAATTACTATGATATTGAGAGGACTCATAAAAACTGCCCAAAGCAAAGCCAGAAATGGAAAGGCATTTTCTAAGTGGAGAATATCAATAGTACAGTCTCCCCAAATCAGTATCATCTATATGTTTATAAACAATTTAGAAGAGGGAGCTCTCAGTAAAATTGCTTAAATTTGTGTGAAATTCAGTAAGTTCTTCCATTTAGTATACTAAAAGCCAGTGGGAATAAATGCAGGGACATACCACAGATTTCACAAATGGGTAGAAACTGGGCAGGCAGGCAAATCCAAAGAAAGGGAAAAGTAATTCAAATGTAATTAGAAAATGACCTGTGATCCAGAAATTAAAATCCAAGCAAAAAATCATGGTAGTCTATATAACTACTGAGCTCTGCTAGTGACAGCTATGATATTACTCTGGCTAAAGAGACCCACACAGAGAAAACCCACTTGTGGGCGAAAAGAATTCTGGGAACAAAGCAGAGTGTTCCTTTCTAGCACTAAACCAGGATATTGTCTGTGAAATAGCAGGTAAGGTCACTACATGTCAAGAAATGTAAAACAGCCAGAGAACAGAATCAAAAAGGGAGCAAGAAAAGATGAAAATTTTGAACCATTTCCATGTAGGTATAGACATAAGGATGCTAATGTAGAAAAACTTGAGCTGGTATGTGATCAAAATGAACAGTTATGAAAGGGATTGACAGGGTCAGGGTGTATATACAAATTTGTTCACTAATTTAAAATACTTGGGCTAGAATACTTTCTTTAAAACTTAGAAGTACTATAAAACCCAAGTCTTTCTGAGACTGAAAATCCACATGGTTTTTTGGCTTTTTTGTTTGTTTTCTTAAAGAATGTTGGAGAATCACAGTCACATGAGAGGCTTTCATCAAATTCTGTAGGTCCTTTCAACATCCCCACCCACCCACCCCAAATTCTGGTATACTTCAACCTCCCTTTTGTTTGAAGTCATTGTGGGATGTATAGTCAGGAGTGTGTTATCACCCTCAAGTGTGAGCAAAAGAAAAAGTTATGAAGCACTGTATTCATGGATGAGAGGTGTGTTAGTTTACAAAGGAAGAGGTGTTGGCTATTCATCCCTGAGCAGAGAGCAAAATTTTTCTCTACTTTCCCATCAGAAACCTTCTGTTAATCTTCATAGAACATTGTTCAAGCCTAGGGTAACATGTCATCTCATTCCACAAATGATATGTGACAGCTGGGTATTTATGTTCTACTGACATATTTTTGATTTAAAATTACAAAATCCTTTCAGGGATATGGTAGTTATCATTCAAATGCCTATCATAAAAAGGAAATTGCATTTTATTTTGAAATTCTCAAATATTCCAATATGTTAGATTATATAAACTCCCACAACCACAAAAGTATAGGTTTGGTCAGTTTGATTTGGTTAATTTTTTCCAACCACATCTGTTTGGGGTTTTTTCTGTGTGTGCCAGATATGGCTGGGTGAAGAATTGAATAAAATACTAGACCAGCCCTCAGGGGATTCTCAGATTAGCTGGGAGGCACACAGGGATAGAAATAATTAAAAATGGAACAAGTGCAGTCAGTGGCACAGGTATGTACAAAGTGCTTTTGGAGGGGCAGATGAGAGATAGCTTAGACAGTTGGGGTTGATGTCACAGAGGTTGTGACATTTGAGCTGGGCTTTGAAAGATGGGTAGGAGTTAGCAAGCAGAGAAAGAAAAGGAGGGCATTTCCAGCAAAGTTTAACAACATGCAATGTTTGGCCACTTTAGAAAAGCATTGGATTTTCTTGATTATTGACAATTGATTTAAGTGATTTTTCTTATAATTTTTTTTTTTACACTTTGCTACTTCTGTTTTAATACATACTCTTATCTTTTAGGGAGCTACTGAATGGTCTAACTGTTATCATATTGCTGGTGATAATAATCCACTGGCTGTGAATAGAGCAGCAAATAACATCTCATCCTTATTGACCAAGAACCAAATTAAAGAAGGGTAAAAATTTAACTTAAAAGATTTTATAGCATTTTTTGGACTTTAATCACTTTTCATATGGACTTTATGAATTAATACCCTAGTTCACTGTGATATCATTATAACCAAAATGAACATAATTGTGGGACTCCATTTAAATTTTAAATTTATTGAAAATAATTTATATTTAAGAAACATTTAACTATAATTTCCCCACCCTAATGCAACTGTTTTTGTCTTCCTTCTTTTCTTATTCATGTCTTTTTCCCCACACAATAGAAGATTGTATAGATTCACTTTTTCATTTTTAAACACTTTGTTTTTACATAGTCTGGTTTTTAGTGACTGCATAATATTCCATTATATAGAAATACTACAGTTTATTTATATTTAGCCTTTCCTCTATTGACACTTAAAAGAATCTCAAAGTTGAAAGAGACCTGCAAGGCATCCTTATGATGCCTAAATGTCCTATAAGAGACCCTGACCAGTAGCCTTCCAGCCTGTTTAAACACTTCTAATGACTACCTCTGAAGGCTGCTGATTCCATCTTTGCACAGCTTTGAGTGCTAGTCACATATTTTAGTGAACTGAATCTTTCCCTGTACCTCCCATAGATTTGTTTTAATTCTCTCACTTGGGTCCATAAAGGAAAAAAATCTCATCTCTTTGTCACACAATGATTGAAATCGGGTATTTGAAGAGCTACAACCCCTCCTCCCCAAATCCTCTCTTCTCTAAGCAAAACAGTTCCAAGGCCCTTCAGCCATATCCCTTTGATACCCATGGAAGTCCATTAGCTTCTGGGAAAATTTATTTTCCATCCTTTTGAGATGTATGCTGTTAACAGTATTTTAAGCCTAGCCCACTATTCCAAATTATATTTGATGACATCATCTGTGACAGCTTTTACCATGTTTTGAACATCTCAGCTATCTTTGTCTTTGGGAAGAATTGGTTGAAATGTCACTTGGTCTATAGTTTCTTACCAGAGGCCTCATGAACTTGCTTCTTTGGTCACCTCTGTTGGTGTCCTTTGTTCTCTTATAAAATGGCAGGAGTAAGTAGTGGTCAGCAGATTTGTTAAGTCTTACAAATGTTCCACATGCTGAATACATAGTACTGGAAGTCATTGTATCCCATAATTGGCCTTAGGAGACCTAGCGACAGCTGCCTCCGTTAACTGTGTCAAGCTTATATTTGTAAGTAGAAATCAGTTGTTTTTAAAAAATATGTTCATTTTATTCAAGTACTCATATTTATTATTTATACATGGTATGCCTGATGCAATATGTCTATATATTGCTATCCCCTTATCATTTCTTTTTTTTTTTCCTTTTTTGTCTTTTTTCGTGACCGGCAACGGATCGCAATCCTCAGTGTCGCGCCCGGACTGGGACCGGCAACGGGATCGCAACCCTCGGTGTTGCACCCGCACCTCGCTCAGCCAGTGAGCGGCCGGTCTGTACGTGGGATCCGAACCCTCGGTGGGAGCGCCGCCACGCTCCCAAGCGGCGCACTGTAGCAGTGCGCCACCGGGCCAGCCCCCCTTATCATTTCTAATTTCATATTTTCCTTTTTGATTAGGCTCCCTAGTGCTTTGTTTTGTTCTTTCATATGCTATTTGTTCTTTGGTTTTATGCTCAGTGCTTTTTTAATCCCTAGTTGATATTGAGATTTTTTGTTTTCTAATTTTCTAACTTGTTTTTTAATTTGTTTATATGCTGTTAATGTTTTCTTCTCTTCTTAATGGAAGTTTTTGTTCAAGCTATGAGTTTTATTCTGAGTACTACTACTGACCATATACTATAGATTTTTGATAATTCTGTTTTTGTTACTAAGTCATTTATTATATACTTAACTATATTTATGATCTAGCTGTTTAGGACAATGTTTTTCAGACATTAATGTACATGTGAATCACCTGGGGATACTGTCAACATGCAGTTTTTTGTTTTTTGTTTTTTTAAAAAAGATGACCGGTAAGGGGATCTTAACCCTTGACTTGGTGGTGTCAGCACCACGCTCTCCAAGTTAGCTAACCGGCCATCCCTATATGGGATCCAAACCCATGGCCTTAGTGTTACCAGCACCACACTCTCCCAAGTGAGCCATGAGCGGGCCCCAACATGCAGATTTTGATTCAGTAGCTTTGGATAGGACCTGAGGAGTCTGTATTTTCTAGCAAGCTCCTTGGGAATACTGATGCTGCTAGTCTGTGGATCAACTTTGAAGTAGCAGGCATTTAGATCATTTATACATACAAGTAGGGGAAGTTTTTGATTTTCTTAAATATTAACTTGTTTGTTATGAATTCTTATGATATATCTTGTTTCATATTTATCAAGGTTTTATTTCAGGTCTAGTGTATGATCAGTTTTGGGGGGGATTCAAACTTGATAAACATTTTTAAACAAATTTCTTTTCTAGCTTTCAAATATTTTCTTATTTGTTATTCCAACCTCCGTACCTTCAGTTTTCGTCTATTCAACCTGTAGTATTTCTATCAATTCTACCTTGATTTTTTAATATCTTTTGGCTTTTGTTTTGTCACAGTTATTGATATCTTGTGGTTGTAATACATATTTTCAGTATCTGTATTTTTTAAAAATTATGTAGCATGGGCCAATCCCGTGGTGCACTCGGGAGAGTGCAGCGCTGGGAGCGCAGCGACGCTCCCGCTGTGGGTTCGGATCCTATATGGGAGTGACCGGTGCGCTCACTGGCTGAGCACGGTGCGGGCAACACCACACCAAGGGTTGCAATCCCCTTACCAGTCACGAAAAAGACAAAAAAAAAAAAAAATTATGTAGCATTTACCTTTATTGCATTTTTTCTCCAATTCTTCTTTACTAAATGTCATTATTATAACCCTTAATTTCTGCTCATAATCTTTGATTTGCCTTTAATCCTTAGCCTGTGCATTATTTTGTTTTGTAAACAAGTTGCTTTGTTTTAATGGGGAGGATTTAAATAACTTACTGTATTCTGTCATCTGTGTTTTCAATCTTAACTTTTCCTTTCTTGGCCTTGTTTTATATAGTGTGGTATGTATTTTTTTGTTTGTTTTTTAATCTTAAAACAATTACCTATATATTTACCAATTTTACATATGTATTTTTCTTTAGGTCTCCTGTTATTACTATGTAGATTTATCAAACTTTCTTCTTCAGATGTATCGCTCACAAGCTTTTCTCTTTAGTGTTGATTTTTTTCCAGTGTATATTCATCAGTAACTTTTTCATCATCAGTTATGTAACTTATGATGAAAAACAGTGAAAAATAGTTTTTCAAGTCTGTTGCAGTTCTGTTTGTGTTTCAATCTTGTGGTCCCCTAATCTGTGTTCCTAAATTGTATGACATATATGTTGACATCTTTTGAAAACCAATCTTAACCATTTTTAAAAGTTACTTGTCATTCTTGTAGATTTTCCATTTCAGTCATTGTAATAGTTTTTATCTTATGACCTTGTTTTCTTCCTACATATTGTTTTTAAAATTTTGATTGTTGACGTTCTGATATTCTTACCATTTTATATTTTGCTGTAGCAGTCTCTTTTATAGAGAGAAATTTTCTTTTTAATATGTTGAATATGTTGAAGTACCATTCCTTTGTCCCCACAGCAAACCATCCTGGGGCTTGCCCATAGATGCTATTCAGTGGGATATCTGCAATCTGCCATTGAGAACAGGCTCTGTGGATATTATCGTAACGGATATGCCATTTGGAAAAAGGTGGGAATTGTGTTTTTAAAAATGAGTTTTACTTTCACCTGTACCCAGTTGTCTTCTAAAACTCTCAGTATTTTCTTTGAGCTTATTCAAAGTCAGAAAAAAAAAATCTCCAATTCCTTTTAGCAGACTTGGGAGAGTAGCTTTTCACTTAACAATATGATGGATTCACCCATTATGTTTCTTTGTTTTTGAGAACTCAGGAATGTATTAAATTTTGATACTAACCATCACAGGAGGCTCATTTAAAAATTTCCTGTAATTCACTTTCAAGCCCATTGTTGAATTACATACTTCATACAAAAAGGTTGATGAAGACTTGGTTGACTTTCTCAGGACAAATGATTTCTAATCACTGGTTTGATTTAAATAGCTTGACTGTTTATAATACTCATCAAGAGGACAGGTTATATAAACATTATAGTTGTCTTTGATGCAAAATTCTAAGCACTTTACTAACTCTGATAGCTTATTTCATTAACATTTAGGCATTTTAGACAATACCTCAAAATGCATGAAATTTTCTTCTCATTTCATGTAGTCCTAGATATTTATCTTTTGCACTTGATTCATTACTCCTTCTTTTATAGGATGGGCTCTAAGAAGAGAAACTGGAACCTTTATCCAGCTTGCCTGCGGGAGATGAGCCGTGTCTGTAGACCCAGGACAGGCCGAGCTGTACTACTCACTCAGGACAAGAAATGCTTTACCAAGGTGATATACATTAGCTCAGCCTGTGGCAACTTTAGGTAGAATATTTTTAAGTTGATTTGGGGATATAATTTGGATAGGAATTGTTTTCTCTTCCCCTAGCATTTCTTAACTGTCAACTAAGATCCCTGGTGGGTTTAGAATCAGCCTAATTTTTTTATGCTTTTTGTGTGTACACAGGCATTATCTGGAATGGGACACGTGTGGCGCAAGGTGCATACAGTCTGGATAAACATCGGGGGTCTTCATGCTGCAGTTTATCTTCTGAAACGTACACCCCAAGCTTTTGTTCATCCTTCACAAGATGGAGAAAAACTCCTTGGTAATGCAAAGAATGAAGATGATTAATAGTATTTGTATTTCCCAACACGGAAATGTCAGCACGAAGAACTTGCTTTGAGAGGAAAGTAGTATTAACAAACGTTCAGCCTGCACTGTTTAAACCAGTCCAGAGTTCTTCACCCTGGTTAGCAAAAGGCGTGAATGTAATTTATGGAATTGAAAAAAGTCTTGAGAGCTTTTCCTTGGAGCTGTTTTGAAGGGGTAGCTGAGCAGTTAGTATTTTTTTTTTTTTAATGCTTTAAAGATGCCTCGCGAAAAGCCTACTAAAATGCTGTGAGATTTGGGTTTAGAACACTTTTCAGGCTTTATAGCCGGTTTTCCACTGTGGCAAGTGGAAAGCTACACTGCCTAAAGGAAAGGCAGAGAACATAATCACAGCATCTTAGGCCACATCTCATTGCCTATGCAGCTTTGCTATTCAGTTACTCAAGTTCTCTTTACCTCAACCCCCCCAAAATGAAGCGTTATTACATTTTGTGACCAGTGTTTGCCCTGTGAGAAGATTAAATCTCACGAGACCTATAGGAAAGTTTACCACCTGCCTTAAAAATTAAAATACACATCTGTTATTCAGATTAATACATAGAAATAGAGAACTAGGATTTATCAAAGGATTACAAAGATACTTTACTGTTTGTAGTAGTATAAGACATTAATATTTGTCAACAGCAATACTGGTAGATGAGATGTGGGACCAACAAGCCAAATTAAATTTTCTTTCAGTACACAAAAGGCATGTGTTACTTTTCAAAGCCAACCGTAAACCTGTCAAAGGTTTGAGAAACTAAACCTGTTGTTTAGTTTCTCAAAAAGAACTAGAGAAAAAATTGATGTATCTTTGAATGAAAAACTTTTAATGTGGGAATACTATAAGCTTTTTTATTTTCTCCAGGATCACTATTCATTCTTTTCCAGTTGAAGCAAATCCTTCCTGAGATAGTTTTGTGGAAAATGCAATAACCTCAGCATTAAGTCCTTGTGAAAATGGTGCTTCCCTGGGACAAAGAACAGTTGAGCTTTTATGTGGAACTCTTTATAATACTCAAGAGTTTATTTTGGAGTATCTGGCTGCCTTCAGCTTAGATTTTCAGTGTCGTGTTAGTAAAAGTATTACTCATAATACCTTTTGATATCTCCATTTAGAATAAAAGAACACAGTACTTCCTTCCTTTGAAAGGACAGAGTTCACATTAGCAGCATAGCTGGCAATCTTAGTCTGGTTTTTCTAATATGCTACCCCACACTTGATAATGAATTGGAAATAAGACATTTATAATGGTTTTATATCCTAGACTGGCATTTTTAGCATATCAGAATGCACAGCTGCATTATTTATGGAATGAACATGAAACAACTTCTGGAAAGAAACCATTTAAACCTCAAACTAGGAAAGGGTTGGTCAGCAGTCCACTGCACCAGAAAGTACAAAGGACCATGTCTGTTTTCACTACCATTTTACCAAGTGCCTGGCACAGTACCGTCCATAGAGTGGACATTTAATTCTGTTGAACAAATGAATATCTTTTGTATTAGCTTAGTTTTTAAAGAAATATATCAATACATTTTGTGCTCGATTCATTTTAGCTTTATCCTATTAAATACTGTGATAAAAACATGACCAGACTTGATGCAAATATATAGCGGGCTATAGTTTGCAGTTTTTCCCCTAGGATGGTGTTTTGTAATCTGGTGACTAGAATAGGAAATGGGCTATGAGCAGGACTCAGCGGCCTGGAATTGAGTCGTAAATGATACAGCCACCTATTAGTTGTGTGTCTTGGTTTTTAACCTTTGAAGTAGGTCTCCTGGACCACGGGAATGTGAAAAGATGGGAAAGAGAATCTACAATCTTAACAAGAAATGACTGAGTTACAGACCATTCTGTTATTGAGAATGAAAGTCAAAATATTTGGGAGGTAAAAAACATTAAGAAACATTTTGAAATGTAATGAGAGGAAGATAGTTATCTCCCAAGACTGTACTAGAGTGGTTCAAAAGGGAGCATAGGATTACATTTTATTTCGTTTGAAATGGTAATAAGGCTTTCAGGAAACATTGCTGAAACTGTAGGTCCTGGCTTATCAATGTTGGGTATGGGCTCAAGTCTCCACTGCAAGGACCAGTAGTTGAAATGGGGGGGGGGGGATATTCCGAAGGGTCTGTGAACTACTGAACGTACACTAAAGCCTGTAAGTTATTTAGTGATAAGCATAGAAGAAGTAAAACATCCTTATTCTCAAGCATAGACTTTTCCAAGAAGTTCAGGTGAGGTGTCATGTGTGAAGTTCAGTGAGGGCATGGTAAAAGTTTGAATATTCTATAAGAAAAAAAATCAGATTTAATTATTGTACCTTGGTCACCCTTGTACTTTTGCCCCTGAGCTAATGTTTGTTAATCAGTTGTGAAATTATAGCTATTCAATGATCTGTTTATGGTAGAAGCAATTTTCACTAGAAAGGAGAAAAAATGGTATTTTAGTTTCTCTCAAGCCCAAATTCTGAATTTCTAACTGCCTACTATAGTTGGCTTTGGTATGTTCCACCTCACATTCAACATAAACACACTTTTTTCTTCACTAAAACCTACTCCGTGTCCTAGCAGGCCTATTATCCCAGTCATTCAGGTTTAATGATAGCAGTCATCTTAAAACTTCAGTCATTCAACAGGCATTTGAGTGTTTATTATGTGCACTGTGCTAGAGCAGCCATTTCTCAAACTGTAGCCCTAGAATCCATTCTTAAAAATTCAGGGACCCAAATAGCTTTGTTTACCAATATTTTACATTAGAAATTAAAACAAAAAACTATAACAGTATAGAAACAAATGAATTACTTTAACATTTCCATGGAAGTAACTATATTTCAAAAAAAATTAGAATGGCATTGTTTTACATTTTTGCAAATCAGTTCTCTTAATTGTCTGACTTAATAGAAGGCAGCTGGATTTTTATCTTCTACATTCAGCTCATGGTTATTTAACTTGCTTTTTAACTTGTTTTTTGTAATTTCACAGTCACTTGAAAATTATTCACTGAGTTATATACATCTTCCAAATGTTGGCCCATTTTGTTATGCCATATCTAAAATATCATATTCATTAATATCACTACCTTTCATAAAAAACGAAGTATTGGGAAGCTATGAAGCTCCTGATGGTAAATACCAGGTTTTCCCAAAAGTTTGATTTTCACTTCAAAGTTTGAATTTTATCTTCAACGATTGCTGTCAGTTGTTTTCCTTGACAGGCTCACTTCCTTCATATGAAAATGTCTGCCCAGTAGCCAACTCTGAATAATCAAAATTGATCGTTTAAAATAAAAATGAGGCTCCAACTGCATGAGTGCTTTTTCTCAGCGAACAACTGTACTAAGTACTTTATGGCAAACTTTCCATTTCATCACTCATGTTAAAAGTTATGTACTCAGGTCTTTAACAGAATAATTTTATTGCTTTCACAAGGACATTCTTAAGTGAAACTGAATTCTCCTTTTTGGGGGGTTTACACTACAAATGCATGGTAGTGAAGAATGACTTCTGTGGTTTGAAGCCACTGCCTTGATATGTGCCAAAGTATTACCCACTGTTGCCTTTTCACCATTAGTGCAAATGTCAACATGATTGTTTAGGATAAACCATAAGATTAAAAAAAGTTATTCCACACTTTGACTATTCAGGATATGTTGTGTTTATTGCCAAGCTTTCGTATGAGAGTATCTGATTAGTTCATGCTGATGCCAGGCAAATACAAGCAAAGTCAACAAGTCCAGCCACATTTGTAGATTGATCCATTTATAAGGTTTTAAGTACAGTGGGCCCTCATATCCACGGGTTCCACATCCAAAGACTTAACCAACTACAGATCGAAAATATTGGGGGGGGGGAGAAATAACAAATAATTAATACAAATAAAAAACACAGTTTAAGTATTTACATAGCATTTTACATTGCATTAAGTATCATAAGTAATCTAGAGATGATTTAAAGAATGAGAGGATGTGCTTAAGTCATACAAATAGTACACCATTTTATATAAGGGACTTGAACATCTGCAGACTTTGGTATCCTTACGAGTGTTGGTTGTCCTGGAACCAGTGCCCTATGGATACCAAGGGATGACTGTACACGTCTATAGATGAGATATTAACACAGTTCATGTATGCACACAAATCCAACAACTTGCATTGTTCAAAAGTGGCACTACTGTGATTTTTCACTTGCTTTTCACCCTATGGATACCAAGGGATGACTGTACACGTCTATAGATGAGATATTAACACAGTTCATGTCTGCACACAAATCCAACAACTTGCATTGTTCAAAAGTGGCACTACTGTGATTTTTCACTTGCTTTTCGTCCAGGAATGTCAACTGTATAGCTCCTTAAAGTTTCTCAGCTATTGTGTATGTTTCTCCAGCCAATATAATACAATAACTTGCCCTTTAAGATACTTCAGTAGTTTTATCATGTCTAGTTTGAAAATGTAATTTTTTTTCTTTTAAGAAGCCTCACATCTGAAGATATTCAATACCTTTAAAAATCACTGGTTTCAAAATGATTCAACTTTGCTGCCACCAACACTACACAAAATTATTCTACTACATATACACAATAAAGTAAATGAATATCTCTAAAACCAGAAGAAACAAAACTTTCATATTTTCATTTCTTATAGTTTCTTTTCAGTCAATCCTTCTGAGTCAATCTTGTACTTCAGCATTTTTAGACATAGATGGTATAGCTTGGGTTCACCGAGTAGTCTTTTCTTTTTTAAGCTAATGATCTATTCTTAAATATAAGAAAAACTATAAACTTTAAAGTAAAATTTGGACATTTTGAGAAAATATTTTAAACTGTAAAACAACAAATGTACTTATGTTTATGCTTAGGCACAAGGAAGACTACAGGATTTTAAAATAACAATTATAGTGTTGAGATTACAGAAGGTATAACGAGTTAATTTCTAAAAACACAAATACTCGTACCTAAACCTACCTAC